AGCTCAAATTTATGCTTGATGTATCAGAACTGGATCAGTACATCTGTAGACCAGCTGTGTGAATGTGACACAGTAGAATTGTTTTGGTATCTGGGAATGGACTTGTGAATACCTTGTTAAGGGGAAGGAGATTTTTCTGGTTCGGAACAGGTCTCAAGAAATATACCTCTCTCCTTGTGTAACTTGTTTTAAATGATTTAATAAGCTCAGCTACTAAAGTAATATTTTAATGGGTGATTTAATTCAAAATTGCAAAATAAAGTCACTGCAAATAAAGAAATGTATACAACTATTCTTGATCACAAAGAAACTGCTTCATGGCTTGGATAAAGAATCAAAAGCAAAGTATTACTTTAAATGCAAAATAATACTTTCTCTTTTTAATTTGTTTTGTTTTTCTTATTATCTGTCCTGTTTTCTCCTCTTTCACGCTTTTACTTACATTTTAACCATACATATTTTATAGTAAAAAGATCACGAATTCATAACTCTGAGACAATATATGCACATACAGTAACATTTCATTTGTTTCTTTTTACCATATAATTTTATATTTCTGATGAATAAACTTTAAAAATAAGAATCTTCTAAATAGGTATCGTAACACAAATGCAATAGAAGTTACATTTAGAATAATAAGATTTGGTAAATTTCAGCATGTGCTTGGTACTTATACAAACGGGCTAGTTCTCGATTTATTACGTACTACTAGGGAAAACCGAGCAATCACATTTAGTAAACCAATAAACAAAATTTCCTGTGAAGATCTGAACTGAAAACACAGAGCTGGTGATGATCACAGGTGACAAAAATCTTTAGTAGAGACTATAAGCAGTTAATTTGTAAAGAATTAAAAAATAATTCAGATATTATTGTCATCTGTCAAATTTTGGCCTAGGATTACACTCACTTTTTCATTAAGGGTTTTCTCTTCTTCTAGGGAAAGCATGTATGTAATATAGGGTATTCAAAGCTGAACATGGAACATAATTATAGTTCCATGTTCAATGAAATAAAACACTGCACAATCCTCTATATATCACATCCAGGATAACTAACTTGAAATGGCAAAGCTAATTGCAGTTACATCATGTTGGCTACTAGACACTGAGGTCCTCACTTGCAGCCATTGCAAGTGTGTAAAATTTCATAGCTGTGTTTTATATTTCATCTAAGTACACAGATGTACTTTGGGGTCTACTTGATTCCTTAGTCCATTTTCCTTGCACCTGATTTTTAACCTATTTCAATTTATATTTTCTTATTACAATATAATAATCTTTTAAAATCATATATGGAGACATAATTTCATCAAGAATTTTCAGAGCTGTTCACATTCTATACATGTGGGTCGTAGCACCTACCCTTGCAATCCCAAGATTAATTCCCTCAGAGTGGACATGAAATACCAAAGATTATCTCATAGCGTAACATAGAATCAATGGTTTTTACACAGTGGTAAATTTTACAAGTCGTTTTTCTGCCAAAATGCCAGGATGTTTTACATAATCCTCCGTGGAACTGTAATGCAAAGCAAAGAAAGAAAAACACATCCTTCTTTAAATTTTTGTCTGCTACATATTTGTGCAAGTCAGCAACAGAGATCATTTCAACTATGGGAACGCAAGAAAACAAGGCAGAGAAAGAGAGAGAATATGTGTCTTAGCAATTAGCTTAAAAATTTAGATTTAAGGGAGAATCCATTCTGGTTCTGCTGTAAATCAGTATAGAATAATAATGGGATACAGAAGACAATACAAAAATGAGAAAGATTACTGGAGCCCAAGGAGACTGTAAGCCGATTCAGCTTAGATATCGTTCATTCCAATCATGAGAGAGAACTAGAGATCAGAAATGCACCCTTGTTGTCTATCTTTCCTTTCATAATACCAGTTAGTCATTTTCAACTAATCATTGTTATTGTAATTATTAAATCATCATCTTCAGCCAGCGCTTGCCAACCAGACTCTCATGCTCAGAGCAGAGAGGTAACTTCCTTTGAGGATTACATTTTCTGTCAGCTACATTTAAAGTTGGCTTTTGGCTTCCTCCATAATTTTATTCATGATAGCTTTGAGAATGAAAAATAATTCCCCTTTGATGCATCCTTTACTGGTTTTCTTCCTTCTCACATCTACGGCTCTTTAGTTGGGGAGATTTTGACTGACACAAATTTCATTCTTGCAATCGAAAATTTGTAGTGTGACTAGTCTCTCAACTGAGATACTAGCAATGTCAGAAATATGTGCCTGTGGTTGATGATTTTGCTACGTGGTTTGTGATACACTGTATAAAACAATGGGTGGCATATATAGTTCCATAGCTACTAGATAGAATCTTCCCATATGGTTCTACAGAAAGGAAGCAGAGTCGTGAAGTCTACTATACTAATCTCAAATCAGTGATGGAGTCCAGTGTCTAGGCAAAGTCCAAAATGATCTTAAGTTTTAATAAGTTACTAATATTTATGAATAAATTTATTAAATATTATAAGAGAAAAAACTTTTAGTCCCCCATATTGTTTAATTCAATCCTTAATTTAGAGGTTAAGCCCTTCTTCTGCTGTGCCCTAGGAGAATGACCCAAAGTGTTTCAGAATAATCTGTCTGTGTTTACCAGCATTCAGAAAACCTCCAGCCAGAACGTCAGCTGACAAATGGGCACAGGCATTACATCGCACCTGCAGTCTCCTCCCAGATCTTCCTGCTTGTTTTCGCTGTCAAGAGTGATGCTACACAAGTCCCTTCAAGGAGCTGGAAGACAGATGTGGACTCAGTCCAATGATCTCCTACCACGATCTGATATCCTTAGCACATGATTGGAAATCCTAAAATAACCAATATGTCTTTATTTTTTCATGATAGAAAACATTTAAATGTCAGTTTATCATGTTCTGAGCTTTATGCCTTTTTAATGACAAAGTCATCTAGTATGTATTTTTTCTTGGAACTATTCTG